AGGCTTTAGGGATCGAGGGTTTAGGGTTTAGGGTTTTCGGTCATGATCCTTGGGCCTGTGAGGGCTTAGGGTTTCTGTGGGTTTAGGGTTTAGGGTCGAGAGGTTGAAAGGTTTAGGGTTTATAAGGGTTTATAGGGGTTTATAGGGGTTATGGGGGTTTAGGGTTGAGTCTGCCTGAGGGTGCGGGTCACGGCTTCGTTTCTTGATGCTGTCTGTACCAAATGGAGATCGCAGCAGATGAGATGCTGACTCTTTCTCCATTGCTATTTGGGGGTTTCCGAAAATAGGGGACCCTAATATAGTACCCTAAGTAATAGGATCCCTATTATAAGGACCCCCAAATAAGGTACCCTAATTTTCGGAAACTCCCATTTGTGAGTATTGATTAGCAGACGTTCCCTTCAAATCTTGTTTGTTCTCGCATGAAGTTACCTGGGGGTTTCGAAAATAGGGGACCCTAATGTAGCACCCTAAATAGAAGGATCCTTATTATAAGGACCCCAGAATAAGGTACCCTTACTGTGCGGAGACTCCCACCTGAGACCGGCACAGTCCTACTGCTTCTATCATGTTCGTTAGCAGGTCCAGTGCTTTATGTAGCTGCTCAAGCTGCAATCGATGCGTTGTACCTGCTAAGCTTGCGACAGCAGATTCGGTTTGGGGTTTGGAGTTTAGGTTAGGGGATGCCTCTGCGGGACCAAGAACCCTAAACCCCAAACCCTAAACCTAAAACCCTAAAACCCTAAACCCTAAACCCTAAACCTTTCCTAATCAAGATCGTTTAGAGTTTAGGGTCTCTGGAATGCAGGATGTGGTGCAGCAGTTCCCCTGCTTCCGTTTGCCCGTCGTTGCCGCCTTTGATTGGCTGCGCCCACAGGGGCTCAACAAGTGCATGGGCGTGTGAACGTGTGCAGGGTGAAACGACAAGGATTTAGGGTGCTGAGGGTTTAGTGTTAGGGTTTTAGGGTTTTAGGGTTGTTGTTGCAGGGCTGCCGGGAATGTTCCAGGACAGTTGTAGCAACGCAGTTTCTTGGTGGTCTGGCGTGTGCTCGGTCTTCGAAGAGTGCTAACCGCAGGTACCAAAAAAAAACCTACACCGAAAGACATGAGGTGCGACACCTTCTCTAGCGGTTCAAGGTTCATGGCTTGGCCTTCGTTTGGTTATCTACCTCAGCTGATCTGGGGTGGATGGGGTTGCTCAGATCGGCTGCAAGAGCCTCATGGAGACTGTGGATTAATGAGAGCCCCCTTCCGGTTGTCGCTCAGGATCCTAGTAGTAAGGGACAAACAGGGCGTTCGTTGATTGGCAGGGGTCTATGTAGCCAATCAAAGCCCCGAGTCCAGCAGGTTTTGTCTCAGGTTGATCGTACCCTATACCCTAAACCTAAACCAGAACCCTTCAGGACGAAACGTCACCAAGCCCTATACACTACACCCAACAGTACACCTTACACCCCAAGCGCTGAAAACCTGGATCCCATCGTCTATAGTGCCCTTCTAGATTCGGGAGCCCTGCAGGAGCCCGTCCAGGAAACACCGTATTGGACTCTTATTATTAGGGTTTAGGGTTTAGGGCTTAGGGTTATTATGGGGCCCTTGAAGGAACCCTTGTGGAATCATTTGAACACACACTCAACCCTTAGCCCTAAAACCAAAACCCTAAACTCACTCAACCCTATGAGCCGGATCGTGCTTCGGGTTTCGTGTCTTCATGTCACGGCTCACGAGGTCAAATGGGTTTACGGTTCAAGGTCTTTCAAGTTCACTGTAGAATAAGGAAGCGTAAGGAGTAATATAGGTAACTATTTAGGCTTCTATACTACGGCCCCTCAAGCCCTAATCGCTGGCATTAGGCTTCCTACGCTCGTCCTTTCGCCAGTAGCCCTCTTAGGCGCTCCGGGCGCAGCGGCACGGACGACCGAAATCTGCTCATGGACATCGGCCTCCCTCCGGGTCTGTTCTAGTCGATGCTGCTAAATTCTGAGCTCTCCTAGAAGCCGAGGTTGTTTATCTAAAGGGGTTCGTAACATAACAGTCACCTGCTGTACGGCTGGCTTTTAGGGTTCCGCATCGTTGGAGATCCTGCAGAGCAGGTGAGTGCAAACTTGTTTCTAGCATCTTCACCCGCACACTGCATACAACTCGCAGTGTGCAGAATTCAAGCGGCCACCAAAATCTCTCTTATGCATGGCTTGCACAATTTATGTGGCCCACCGTTTCCGAGCCGTTCGCTGAGTGGGAGCCCGGGCTTTTCGTTTGCAGGCCGAGAGCAATTCAGCCTACCTTGAATTAGACTAGACGCTCCTCTTTGCGCTCCTTTGAAGGGTCTTTCATATGCCTAACGCGGACTCTACTGCTTTGGGAGGATGTGTGAGAAAGCCTCCAGAAGAGGCTTCCATGGGCTCCCGCCAGCTTACATATGTTACACCTGGCTCGAGTGCTTCTTGTAGGCACCAATTAATTATGGACTCATGTGCGGGGTAGTTGCTATTCACGCCACTGCGGGAAGAGTGCAGTGAATGTCAACCCTGGTCCCTCAGCTCTACAATGGTGCACCCCTGATGAGGGTTTAAAGTTTCGGGCAGCGCTTCATCCGAGCTGTCTTGATTTTAGCCCGTAAGCCTATGACGAAACCCTAAACCCTAAACCCTAAACCCTGAAACCCTAAACTTGACAGTTTGAACCACGCAGCGCTTTTAAGCATCAGCCTACGACTGGGGAACCAGGACAGTGCTCATATCTCTCGACGCCGCGGGCTTAAGAAAAGCGTTCGTGGCTCTGAAGGATTTACGATTTAGGCATTGTTTGGTTGGGTTTTGGGTTGTAGATGGTTGTAGGTGGAGCTTTGCTGGACAGGCGACTTCTCTTGTTGCTAGTTCAGGTTGGGCTTCACGGCAAAAGGACCCCAAGCAACTAGCAAGTCTTTCACCTCAGAGGCCGTTAGCTCCGATGAAGCTACGGTTATGGTCTCACTCAAACCTCAATTTCGCGAAGCCTTACGCGAAAGTCCCACTGCACCTATGCCCTAGGAATCCTTATAAACCCTAACAGCCCCCGACAAAACCCACATGAAAGTTGCTAATTTACTTAGTCGCTAACTTCGACACCATGCTCTTGGGGTGATGGCTCTTGCAACGTCATTTGTTTTGCTTTTTCAAGGTTTCATTAGGGTTTTGGTAAGGGTACTTTGGAGGTTTGAATAGTTAATAGTTGCATTCCCGATTAGCGTCCATTGTATACCTGTGTGTGTATATATATATATATATATTCACGTATGAATATGTTTTGCAATATACCCGAAACCCTGTTTTCACCATGAAGGCCTCGAAACCCCAAATGACAACAACCATTCAGGTGCAATGGATAGGTCATGTCCGACTTTCCTTGCGCGAGTAGGGCACTGGGGGGTGTAGGGCCGTAGGAGGGACCGAAGTCTCAAATCCTGAAGCCCAAAGCCCTTGGCCCTAAACCCCTAAACCCTAAACCCCGAAGCCCGTAACCCTAAACCCCTAGCCCCTGACAATTCACTGTACCGGAGCCGTGGTCTCTCAAAGTTGGCGCAAAGTGCGCGAGTGCAACGCGGCCTACCCCAGCGAGCTGCAGTGCTCAGGTGCCCTCAGAATCGCAAGCTCTCATGATCCTGAAGGGTTCAGGGTCCATTATCTCCGATATGCGAACCTTTGGCACATTGTCACGGCCTTGTACGTCACTTTTCGCCACACGTTACCGGAGAAAACCATAGTCCTGCTGTAGCATCAGCCACACTCATCAAGTTTAGCAAGGGTTGTAGGGTTAAGGGTTTATATAATAACGGTCTAGGGTTTTAGGGTGTAGGGTCAGGGTTTTATAAGGGCTTAGGCTTTAGGGTTTAGGAGGATACTGTCCTAGTCGGCGCAATAGCCGGTCACGGTTTGATCTGTACGTGGCGGCCGGCCGCATGAGCCCTGCGCAGGCCCGCTGCACCGCTGCACTTGCATCATAAGACTGCTGTAGCTTCTAAACCCTAAACCCTAAACCCTCAACCCTAATTAGCTTAACTTTAACTGCGAAGCTACGCTATTTCCTGGAAGTCCCGGACACTGATTAAACCCTGAAGCCTGCACCGTAAAACGAAAACCCTATATACCCCTCAACCCGGGAAGGCGTCTGGAGTACCCTTAGGTTTCCTGAAACCGAATAGGTATGACCCTTAATGCAGATCCCTGGTTAATCAACCCCTCTGGCTTACAAGGGATTTAGGGTTTAGGGCTTGGGATTTTGATCCTACTATTGTTGTTGCCCTAAACACTAAACCCCAAAAACTCCAAACCCTAAAGGCCCTAAACACCCTAAACCCTAAACCTCTGCTGCTCAAGAGAGAGGGAGCGCCAAGATTAGGCACTCGTACTTTTCAAGGGCATCGTCTTGAGGTCACAACCACTTGGGTAGTTCTCGAAATTAGGCCCCTTTTAGGATCCTTTTCATAAGGGTATGTGAGGCCCTATAACATGGAACCCTAAACCCTAAACCCAAGCTCCTGTCCCCTGCCTCAACCAGCATGGTATTCCGGAACCCTTATCAGGCGAAGGAAAAGAGGTGATAAAAAAAAACCCTAAACCCAAAGCCATGAATCCTCTGTCTCACCGATCCTTCAGAACAGGATGTCCAGGTCTCCAGTGGAGCGATTGGTAGAAGAGGCAAGCAGCAGGACGCGATGAGAGTGGAGGCTTAATTTTTGGAGCCTTAAAAACTACCTATACTATTGTGGAGGCTCCTTCTTATAACTCTATAGTTGTGTAGACCCCAAAACCCTAGTCTACTCATTAAGGCCCCTATATTTGGGCTAGGGGGGTTGAGGTCTGAAGGCTTGAGGGTTTAGGGCCCGCTGTTCGGACTTGCTGGTTCAGGTCTAGGACATGTTCAGATGGGTAGTTACCAGTGTAGGAGCCTTATAGAAGGTCTCCTGTAGTTTCCTTGAATGAGGGGAACAGCTATGACCATTGTTTTCATGATTCGCTCTACTGTGAATGAAGGCGTAAAGTTTAGGGTTTAGGGTTTAGGGTAAATACTAACAGAAAGAGTTTAGGGTTTAGGGTAAAGACTAACAGCAAGAACGGCAGTAATCAATGTACATGATAGTGAACCACGACGACTGGGGTTGGCGTCAAGATGTGGGTAGTTCATGGTAGTTCTCTAAATTAGGGTCCTCTTTAGGGTCCTCTTTGTAAGAGTGCCGTATTACATTGGGGTCTGAAAAAGGGACCCTAAATTTAGAGAGCTACCCAATATGCAGGTTCATGGTTCAGTTCTGGTGTAGAGCTCAGGGCTTGAAACTTGTGAACGAGGAGACTGAACAGTGTTTCGTTTTCCGGTGGGACCCTTCTCTATGGTGTCCTCATTTTTGATTGTTTGCTCAATATTCATGTTCAGTCTTCGATTGTTTAAACTTGCGCAGCACAAAGCCCTGAACCCCAAACCCTGAACCCCAATGCAACCCTGAACCCCACACCCTAAACCCTAATTCGAGGCGCCTGTCTCGTGCTTTCATGCCACCTGCGCTTCGTAGCCTTACCCAAGCCCTGATCTCGATATCCAGGCGCCTAGATCTGGAACCCCTACACCCTCAACCCAAACCCTAAACTAACCCTGTAGGCCCTAAACCGTTAACCTTCAGCCCTAAGCCCTAACATTACCCTCATACTTCCTTAGATGCAGATGCAGGAGCGCTCCTGTAAAGTTCTACGCCAGCTCTCGATGCCCTTACGCCGGTGTCCGAGGGAGTAGAGTGAGTAGAGAGAACGCCCCTGCTTGTTCGTCTAGAGTTTAGGCATAATATGCACTTTACGGCGGTTTCGGGCTTGGGGTTCATGGCAGTTTGGGTTTTTGGAGTTGTGAGACTTTGGTGTTTTGGTTGATAAAGGTTTG